TATATTTCTATCTCTCCCCACGCTCGCCTGAACTTGATTATCCCTGGGGTTGATTATCCAGGGAAAGTGAGGCACATGAGCTACCCTACACGAGCACTTAAAAACATCAATTTCCACAAAGCGCTTGTAAATAAAATCTAATACATTCGAAACTTGATGTTTTATTTATGTTCTCTTCTTCTCTTCTTCTTCTTCTCTTATTATTCCTTATTCTTCTTTCCTTCTCATCTTATTCTTTTTCTACTCTCCTGTTCTTCTTTTATATTTCTATATCTCCCCACGCTCGCCTGAACTTGATTATCCCTGGGGTTGATTATCCAGGGAAAGTGAGGCACATGAGCTACCCTACACGAGCACTTAAAAACATCAATTTTCACAAAGCGTTTGTAAATAAAATATAATACATTCGAAACTTGTTTTTGTTGTTCTCTTCTTCTCGTATTATTCGCTTCTTCTTCCTGCTTCTTCTTCTCTTCTTCTCCTCGTATTCTTCTTCTACTCTCCTCTTCTTCTTGATCACCTCTTGTCTCAAAACGTGCTCGGCTTGGTCTCCTCTTGATAATCTCTTACTTCGAGATTATGCTGAGGTCTGCTGGGCTACTTTTATTATCTCTCCCTGAACCCCGAACTTTATTATCCCCTATTGTTTATTATCACGGGCATGAGGTTATCTGTGTGTCTGTGTGTCTGTGTGTGTCTGTGTGTGTCTGTGTGTGTGTGTCTGTGTGTGTGTGTCTGTGTGTGAGTCTGTGTGTGTGTGTGTCTGTGTGTGTGTGTCTGTGTGTGTGTGTTTGTGTGTGTCTGTGTGTGTCTGTGTGTGTCTGTGTGTGTGTCTGTGTGTGTCTGTGTGTCTGTGTGCCTGTGTGCCTGTGTGCCTGTGTGCCTGTGTGCCTGTGTGCCTGTGTGGCTGTGTGTCTGTGTGTCTGTGTGTGTGTGTGTCTGTCTGTGTGTCTGTGTGTCTGTGTGTCTGTCTGTGTGTCTGTGTGTGTAGGGGCCCGGGCTCGCCTCTGGGAGGCCTAAAATCGACCCAGGGAGCCCTTTGACAGCAATCCCTGCGGCCCCAGACGGTCTCGAGACCTCCCAAAACGCCGTCCCGGGGTCTCGTGCGACGCACGATGCGTTTTAAATTGCCCTGGAGGCCCCCAAGACGACCCAACAGGCCTTTGAGATGCCGCCCAAGAGCGCCCCGAGAGGGCAAAGCCTTTGACTTTCATTGTTTTTTGGCTTTGAAAGTTTTATGCGTTCTCGCTGTTTCGTGTTTCCGGCGCTAAAGAGGCTCCCCAAACCGCTCCAAGACGGCTCAAGAGGCCCCCAAGACGGCCCTAAGACGGCCCAAGAGAGCCCCGAGACGGCCCCAGAGCCGCCCAAGACGGCCCAAGAGAGCCCCGAAACGGTCCCAAGAAGGCCCCCAAGAGGGGCCAAAGAGAGGGAACGCGAATTGAAAAATCAAGCTCTCCGCCCCAAGAGGCCCCTAGGAAGCCCCCAAGAGGCCCCAAGAGGTCCCCAGGAAGCCATTAAGAGGCCCCAAGAAGCCCCCAAGAGGCCCCAAAAGGCCCCCAAGAAGCTCAAAAGAGGTCCCAAGAGGCCCAAGACGGCACCTAAAAGGCTTCAAAGCTCTTTCTAAGATGTCCCCGAAGACATGCCAAGAAGGTCCTGTGACGACTTCAAGAAGCAGTCCAAGATGCTCCAAGGAGACCCCAAGAGGCCCCCAAGAAAGCCCAAGCGGCCCCCGATAGGCCCCCAAGCGGCCTCAAGCAGCATCAAGGAGGCCAGAAAGAGATCCCCAAGAACCCAGCGGTCCGGGCGGGGGCCGAACGAACATTTCCAGCCCTGGGCTCCTGGAAGCCCAACAGGAAACCTCACGTAACTCGCAAGACCACCCCCCCGACGCTCCCAAGACGCCCAAAAGGTTTCCCAGACAGCACAAGATGACAAAATACTGCGATGCCAAGGGGTACGTTTCGACAATAATTTCGAGACAAAGCCAGCCTTAGCCACAAAGATCGCCTCGGAGGCGGAAAGCAGGGTCATCCGGTTGCGGAAAGGAGGACGCAATCGTGGTTAATTCGACCAGGTTGCTTGCCACAGCTGACCTCTCTTCTCCCCTCCGCTAAGCGCGCGATGGTTCTAGTAGACCCTAATCGCGCGTGTTTTTCTAGTATAGTCTGAGAATGGTGTCGTTTGTATGTTCGATCGGTCCCTTGTTCCAGGATCATCTCGTGGCATGTTTGTAGGACTGCTGGGATGGTCGGTCCCTGCTCTAATTTAGATTAGTCCCCTCTCGCCAAGGCGGCAGTGCATTCGCAGGCGTACGAAATTGAATGCTTAAGCAGCCTCTGGAACGACAAGAAAGCACAGCTAGGTTAAGGTTGAACGGTTTTCGCGCTGACAGAAACTATATCACATGCTGCCCTGCAGAAAATTGTCTAAATTCCGATCTTGACAAGCTGCCATTTGTCACAAAGCAGGTCCAATCTATGTGTATGTATATATATATATATATATATATATATATATCTATATATATATATATATATATCGAATTTATCGTATTGATTTTAAGGCGCTGTGGCAAACAGGTCGTTTGGCCCTCTGAGGAGTAGGAGAGATGGAGAAAGGCGGGCGGAGAAGCAATCCAAAACACTCCGGCACCTGTGCCGCTGGGTGCCCCCGTGGCGCCCCAGGAAAACAGGCGGGTTGGCAGCCCGATCGTCACCACAGCTCGACGGGGCTGTGGGATAGACGTTTGCCCTGTGGCTGGCCAGCCACAGTGGGTGCGAGCCCGCCGTACCACCCCTGAGAGGCCCGATGAGGTCACTCGAAGGGGTCCCCCGACGCGGGGGGCGGGGAAACTTAACTCCTTGGGCAGCGGGGCCTCCGCTGCTTGAGGCCGGCGGCTAAGTGGGGGTGGTGCCGGTGGCCGTGTCTCGGGGTGGCATCTGGAAACACCTCGCAACGGCGGCGCAGATGTGACGCCTGGAGCGGGTTTGTGCCGCCGTTCATGTTGCGAGGTCCGACTGCGTGTGGATTCTCATGCAGGCACCTCGGGCACACCCCTTCGGGTTGCGTCGCCGAGGTGTTTTGTCCGGGCACAAAAAATCCAAGGCATTCGAAGCCTCGCAGGCCAACTGCCATAAGCAAGCCGTTGCGCGCATCCTGGAGTTCTGGACGCTGGCAAACAACTGCATAGCTCTTCTGTTAGACCCAGAATTTACATTCCCAACGAGCACGATGTAAAAGACAGAAGGGGGAACTGGAGGAAGAAGACGAAACGGACAGAAGGGATGGGGGAGACAGCGACGGTGCGAATTGAGAAACCCGCCGTGGCAGCAAACGATACAGAAGCGGCGGCCGCGGCACGGAGAATGGAGAGACAGGGGAGAAGGGAAATGACGGGACGAACAAATATCACAGGCCCTTCAACTACTGGACCCGCCCCCCGCGCGACCGCCGCCTGCCAGCTTGTCGAAGGCATGAGCTCGAGCACTCGGGGGAGTGAGGGCGAGACAGGCAGAGGAGGCGGAGAGCAGGCCAACCCCCACAGGGCTGCTTGTACTCCGCCTTCAGCAGGCGAGAGAAGGAGGTACAAAAACGAGGGGGGACGAGCCTCTTGGGCCGTGTTGGGCCTCTGGAGCGTTTTTTTGCAACAGATGCCAACGTCCTTCAAAAACCCTAGGGGAATCAATGCGTTTTTTTGTTCAGGCATTTCTGGTGAAACCCTTGGAGGCCTCTTGGGCCGTCTTAGGGGCCTCTTTGGCGTTTCGTGGGCAGCTTTGGGCTCTCTTGCGCCATGTTGGGCAAGGGCAGATCCAACTGGCTGTTCAGCGTGTCCCGCAGGTCATCGGCCACATGGCCAGGCCAGCGGGCCAAGCGCTCACACGTTCGACTCCAATGTTGGCGGCTAGCCTGAACACCCGCTAAGTTACCAACGGGTTGTCATGCTCCTCCTGTCCTTCCTTTTTCCGTGTCTCCCCCCGAACACGGTGATGTTTGCCAGGCCAGCTACTACAGAGCATGCCCGTTGCGATGATGGTCCCCCTGAAGGGGAGCGGAGTGTTCGGTGCCCGCTCCCCCCACAACCAAGAACATATCCTCGGGCCTTCGGGGGGCGCGCAGGCGCGTGCGCTGTGAGTGGACGGGGGGCGGTCTGAAAGCGCGGTCTCCTCCCTACGTGTCACCCCGTCTTCGTACGCCAGGAGTTGCTCGGAGTCGTCCCAGACCGCCTTCTACCTTTTACCTCAGTTTCGTTTTCTTCGCCCACTCCCCCATCAATCTCCACCTTCATGTCCTGCTCTTTTTCGCTCTCCCGATGCGCCCTTTTCGTTTCCATTCCCACATCCTCCCTCCTCGATTCTTCCGTATTCGTCCATCCTTCGCCTTTATGATCCCTCTTCGTCTTGCCATGGTTTGTCCTCCTTCTCGCTACCCGCCTCCCGACCCTCCTCATCCAGTTGCTCTGGTTGTTCTCGTCGTCTTCCGCATATATGCACCCGAATTCTGTTCGTCGGTTCATCCTCATATTTCGGTTTCTGGTCATGTTCCTGATGATTGTTCCTCCAAGCAACTTTTCCTGCTACTCACCTTGCTCATGCTCATCTTGGAATTGCTCCTCACGCTTGCGTCCCTGCTCCTCCTCTCTTCCTGCCCCTCCTGGTTTTCCTCCTCATGATTATCTTCTCCTCCCTCATGCAGTCTTCCTCGTCCTCTGTCATCCTTCCGCCGCCTCCCTCTTTATTCCTCCTTCTCCTCTCCATTCCTGCGTTCCGCCTCCTCCCTGTTTCACCCTCCCCCTTTTCCTCGTCCTCGTCCTTCCTTACCCTCCCTCTCCTCCTTATGTATTTTCTACCCTCGGGCATCCCACCTGATACTTCCATGCGCCCTTCTTCAGATGTGTTCTGTGTCACTGTTCCGTTTCCCCCTCCTATTTATCCTCTTGTTCCATCGCCTCTCCATTCGATCCTCTCGCCCAGTTGAAGGATGTTGGGCCGCTGGAGAGGGAGGTATTACACAACCAGCCTGGGCGACACCCATTCCACGGAGGAGTGGAGCACGGACACGGTTCCTAGTATCCCGCGCCGTGTCGTACACATCGGCGTCGTTGGTTGCGACAGAGCTCGGCGGTTGTTTGTAACGCTCGGTGTGGGTGTACGTTTGGATGGTCGTCCTCGTAGTCGACCTCATCCTTGTGCAGAAGGGGGATGGCCCCTTTTGGCGTTTTTTTTTGTGATTTCCCGGTGAAATTAAACAGTTCTGGGAGAACTATCGAAATTGTGCGACAGCGTTTCTATCGGGCGTGATTGCGCTACCACCTTTAATCCTGCGATGTTTACAGGTCTGAGACGGATGGCCTTGCAGACCACGAGTGATGCGCATTGAAGTTGAGATGCGGATGGGCCTCAGTCTCCAGATGGAAGGTCGGGCAGATATGAGCACATCAGCCTGACCCCACGATCTCGGTTGCGCGCAAGATACAGTGGGGTTCGGTCTCCCAAGTCGGTCGTTTTTCCGTCCCACGAGTGTTGTGTTTTTGGATACCCTTGGTGGCATTTGATAGCCCACGTCGTGGTGACGGTCTTCGGAGCAGCGGTTCGCATTGTAGTTCGTATTTTAGAGATCGCGCGCGTTCGGCGCTGGAATTGAGCATCCGCTTGTCGTTGCTTGTGCTCTTGCTGCGGATGTGTGTTTGCCTATAGCAGGAGACTAGGCGCATGCGTCCTGTAGGACCGACCACGTCGGCCAACCGTCGTTCTTGAGTGCTCGAGGACCTAGCTGCGCTGACGCCAACAAAGTGAGTTCTACGAGCGACAACAGGGATGGCAAAGGAGGATTTGGTGGACCCACGAACGTGTTTCTTGCCCTGGCAGGTTTCCTATACTGGCCCAGTCTCTAGGATTTGAGCCATAGTGCAACGATTTGTTAGTGATTTCTTTCGCCCTGCTACAGTCCTGGCCCTCTTTCTATTGTGCATTGATCGCCCAACTTCAGCGTGTATTCGCCCTGCGCCGTTGCGGCGTACAAACTCGTTGGCCTGGATGAGGGGATAGCTGCAGAGTCCGTTAGATTCGCATTTCTTTGGCTGGCCAATTGCCCGCTGGCCGAGAATCGACCAACATGGAACGATCTGTCTATCGATAAGCCGCCAATCGTGGTGCCAGAAACCAACAACAGGGTCGTCACGATACGAATCTGCTGTGTGCTTCTTTCCCATCCCCCCTCACTTTCTCCAGATCGTTCACTGGACCTGTCCTGAAGCGTGGTGAGCAGGCCGACCCAGCCGTGACGGTTGTGAGGCCATCCTCTGGCTTTCCAGTTACTCTCCACCCCTTCCCCAGAGTAAAGATGGCATGATCTCCTCGACCCAGACATCTTGCGGTTCGAACAAATTTGGATGTGTGTTTTCCAGATGTGTGCGCCTTTGGAGGCCGGTTTCGGGCCCCTGAAGCCATCCATCACGAAGAAATCAAGGTGAACTTACCAGCCTGGAACATATCCCTATCCCTATGCTGGGCACCTCCTCATCACGATGCCAATCTTAGGGATTCCCTTCTTTTTTGAGGGGGAACCCCCAAGATTGTCATCGTCTTTTGGCGTGTCAATCTTAGGGATAGGGATACGTTCGAGGCTGGTAATGAACAGGTGGCCACGGGGAAGCGGGTCGATGGAACCGTGGGGGTGCGGCCCAGGGAGCCGCTGTGTGTGTGTGTGTGTGGACGGGCGTGGGTCGGGCGAGGAGCACTATGCGCATGCACCGATCCTGACAACGTCCATCCTCGACCCAGGATCGGTACATATATGCCTTCCTGGCCTCGTGCTCAGGATGGGCCTGGCCAGAGTTGGTGTATGTGCACAGCTAGGGGAACAAAAAGAGACATAAACATAAAAACTCGGAGGTCCGCGCGGATTTCTCGGATCGGCGCTGGACCCCCCTCCCTGGCGCGCGGAGCGCGCCAGGGGCGGCGCCGGAGGCGCGGCCGGGGGGCCCCAGCGCCGATCCGAGAAATCCGCGCGGACCTCCGAGTTTTTATGTTTATGTCAGTTTTCGTTCCCCTAGTGCAGTCGACTAGACGTAAGAGTGACCTTTCGCAAGAGTGACCTTTGGTGCGGGCACAGCTGGGTCCCCGGACGGCTGGAAACGAAGCAGTAGCAGCTGCCTGCGCGCCTGGGTTTGGTCCCCGCGCGGCCCCCCAAAAAAGCCGCGCACCAAAGGTCACTCTTACCCTCCTCCTCCTCCTCCTCCTCCTCCTCCTCCTCCTCCTCCTCCTCCTCCTCCTCCTCCTCCTCCTCCTCACACTCCTCCTCGATACCCCTGCGTACAGCCGGTAAAAACAGGAGGTTGCCACAAGGCGGGGTTGGAGAACGGTCCCGGCTGGATCCCGTTGAACGCGTGTCCTTCTTCCAGGGGCCGTTCGGAGCGATTTTCCCTCCAATCCCACCTTTGCCCCTGCCCGCGGCAGGGAGGGGGGTCCGCCAGGGGCGGCGCCGGAGGCGCCGCCGGGGGCCCCAGCGCCGATCCGAGAAATCCGCGCGGACCTCCGGGTTTTTATGTTTATGCCACTTCTTGTTCCCCCAGTTTGGAGCGATTCTCCCTCCAATCCCACCTTTGCCCCTGCCCCACCTTTTATAGTGCCCCCCCCCCCCCCCGACCGGAGGTTCCGCTCAGCCAGGACCAGCTCTCGTACGCGCTGGGCAAGAAGGGCTCCACGCGCAGGAAGCTGGCGAAGGCCAGTGGGGCCATCCTCGAGGCGCCGGCTACCGCGCCCGGGAGGGAGGAGGGAGCGAGCGAGGAGCAGGGATGGCATTCGGGGGTGGACAGACCTCCTACCCTGACACGTCGATTAAGGAATTGGCCGTTTTCGGTTCGCGAGAGGGCGTCGCGGCCGTCATTTTTTGCGGGTCCAGGTCCGTTGGTTTCGGTCCCAGGCCGTTTTCACTAAGGGGAGGTCTACTAAAGGGAGGTTGGTCCACCGCCGAGATGGAGGAGGGGGGAGTCGGGGGCGGAAAGAGGGGGGGTGTGGATATCATGGCGTGGGCCATGATATCTCCCCAGATTTCACGGCGCCTCGTCTTGTTTCGTTACGCCCCTGGCCCCCCCGCCGGGCCGCGCACATGCCGCCGGTCTTGGCCGCTCCCGAGGGAGGGATGGAGGGAGAACCAGAGGAAGGATTAGGATTAAGTCGGGCCTGTCCCCCTACAGGGGGGTTTGACGAAAAATGGGAAAAAAAAATAGTCCGGGGACTAGTGATTTGTTGAGTATTTGGTTTTTCCTTTTTGGTGCATTGTTGGTGTATTTTTTTTAATTTTTCGTCGAAAATCCCCCTGTAGGGGGACACGCCCGACATAAGACTAGGACCAGAGGAAGGACTCGGACCAGAGGAAGGATTAGGCTAGCGCTCAGGCCGAGCCCGGCGCACATCTGGGCGGTTCGGGTTGTGGTCCTGGGGGAAGCCGGAAGAACGTGCTGAAGCGTCCTCCTGCCACAGCCGGCGCGGACCAGCAGCGTCGCATCCAGAATGTTCTCTTCCCATCTGCTTCGACGAGGATGGTCAGCGGCCAGCGAAGGCTGGGTAGTCGAAGGCCAGACTGTCAGATTGGATTGGGCCCCCAGGGCCAATCTGGCCCGGCCAAACTGGATGATTTGGGTTATTCGCCAGACTGGATTCGCGTTGGCTCCCTCGGCAGATTGCCCCCGTTTGCCAGATTGGGCCTGCCAGATTGGCGCCAGATTGGCTTCGACTACCCAGGAAGGGGGGAGGGGAGAAAGAGAAGGCCTTCTCACAGGGCGTGGCGCGGCTTCTCAGAGGCACTCTCCGACCCCCTGAACATTGTGTTGTGCCTTCGGGGAAGGCTCGGGAGACCTCTCAGAAGGCCGGGGGGCTTCCGAGCCTTCTGAGAAGGCCCGCTCCTTCTCTTTCCCCCCCCCCCGCGCCCGCCGCCAAGGTGAGGGAGCCAGGAGTCGAGCAGTGGCGATGCGTCTCGGCTTGCCTATAGGTGATATATATATATATACACAAAAACCTCTCGTGGTCTGCACGACGTGTTCTTAGAACCTTTCTGGCTGAGACCGTCTTGTTTCAACGCATCGGGTTTTACGTTCTTCGTTGTTCGAACATGTTTGGTTCCAGGAGCATGACGTGGTAGGCCTACAGGAATGCTTGGGACGGTCGGTCCCTGCTCAAAGGAGGAGGACGCGGAGGTCTCGGTGAGACGGTGGGCGGAGGGGCTCTGCCTGTTCGGCGTCTGCCGGGCAGATGGAGTGTCGCGCCACATTGGTGCAATAATTCGACGAGCGCGTTCCACTACTCGCAAAGTAACTACTCGCAAATGGCCTGGATCCCCAGCCAGGGATCTACGATACATTACGTCAAAGCAGACAGGTGTTTTTTTTCTGACGTTTGCGAGTAGGCACTTTGCGTGTAGTGGAACGCGCTCGGCGAATAATGGAGAGAGGGCGACCGGAGGTTTTGCTCTACAAATTTCGGGCGGGTGGCAGCGGGGGGTGACTCAAATGGGGGGCCGAGAGCGGGGCCTTCAAGGGGCCCTTTAGAGCCCCTGTTGGGCACCAGCCGGTTCCAAAAGGGACCCTGACAAGACCCTTTGGGGCCTTTCTCTTCACCCTTCACTCGGGTCAGCCCCCATTGCCACCCGCCCGAAATTGCGGGATCATGGTTTGCCGCCGCGGTGATGGCTAGTACACGGCATGGATTGCACACGCATGCGGGGCGACGGTTCGACAGCCCGATGTGAAAGGTACACATTGGGTTGGCCATTCCCCGGCGCTCAGCTGCGCGAAAAGAAGAAATTCAGGAAAGATGAGGCGGACTAGGCAATGGACGATAGAGGCAGGAGGAGGAGGGCAAGCGGGAGGCGGGACATGAAAATGGGGACAGACTGGAGAGGGAAATGCAGGCAGAGGAGAAGCAGGAGAGGCGGGCCGCTTGCTCTCTCTGTTGACGCGTCTGTCAGCTCGCATGCCACGACGCATCGGGTCTCGACGAGGGTCCCCACAGAGTCGAGGGCGAAGTGGAACATCAGGAAGAGGGGTGGAGGAGACGAGAGGCCAGATGGCGGGCAAGGAGTGAGAGGGCGACGAACCGGACGAGGGAGAGAGGGGGTGGAGTAGGAAGAGGAGGAAGAGGAGGAGGAGGAGGAGGAGGAGGAGGACGAGAACAACGAGACCGGCAACGACGATGAGGGCGACGTCACGGTAGTTCTGAATCTCTCTCTCTCTCTCTCTTTTCTCGTTGCTTTTGCAGTTGGTTGACGGCGTTGCTCGCCGCCGTCCTCTCGGAAGGAAGCGCGCCATAAACGTAAACTGTTGGCGTTCAGGGCGCTTTTCCTATCCACTCAGCGTCGTTCGCTGTTGCCACGCGTGCCGGCGACCAGGTCCGGCGGCCAGACGTCTCGTCCGCTGGCGCCGCGTCCGCCCTCTCCACCCTCCTCCGCGGGCCGTGGGAGGGCCAGCGACGACAGGCTCGCGCCGCGCGGCCGCGGCGGCGACCTCGGGCGCTCGAGGTTCAGCGCCGTTGGTGGATCGGAGCTGGCCGATGTCGAAGGATCCGCGCTACCGGAGGGCCGCGATCGTTCGTCGGGACGATCGACATGGGTGCGGAAATAATGGGCACGATGCCCAACAACAGTTCCTGCGCATGCTGCACAGGACTCGCTGTCCGCGCCGCCGCGGGCGTTGTTCATTGAAGACGAGAAGCCGCTTGCCCAACAACGGCCACTGCCGGTATTGGACAACATTTGTTGTTGGTATTGGACATCATTTGTTGTTGGGCATTGTACCTTGTATGGCGGGGTACCCCCCGACTGGGGTCAACCTCGCCTTGTCGTCGCGCTGCGACGGGGGTCGGAGCGCCTTCGGCGCGCGGTGGCTGCCCGCGACGGGGGGCGATGTGGGGCTGTCGGCGGGGGTGACGCCCCCCCGACGTTTACTAAGAAACTCGGAGTACCCATTTTTTCCGTAGCCATCTCGGGCGTCCAAAGTTCACGGTTGAACGATCCACGAAGTGTCAGGAACCTCCGCGCAGGTCGTCGTTGCACGAGCCCGCCGCGACTCGGTCACCCACGGGGGCTCGAAGGTAGAGTCTTTCGCTCCGCGGCCTGGCTGGAGAGTTGTCCTTCTTTTCGGGCGGGGAGGGCCGCGCACGAGCGCCAAGGCAGTCGCGCTTCGCGCAGCGTGAAGAGCGCCAGGCTAAGAAGACCTAGGGGCAGGGCGGTCGGAAGGAGGAACGCGGGATGTACTGAGGAAGATCACTGCCAGAGCTCCCAACCCAATCGTTCCCGAGTGGCTTTCGGCCCATTCCGGGTCCAGTTCGGGTTCCCCTTTCCAGGGCCGAAAACCTTGGAGATACAATTGTTTAGCTAAGTGACTCTTGACTTCGGAAAAGTTCGCGCAGGTCGCCCCGAGATCGCGCGGGATTGCCCGACAGCGCCCGCAACTGGGGGGCCCAGCACCGTTGAAAAGCGTTGACCAGATCCGACGCAGAGAACTCGAAGGGACCTGGGGACAACTTCCACTCACTGCCTTGCCGCACGGTGTCGGATGTGGGATTTCTCCAAACGGATCGATCCGTGAGGGTGCTGAGCTCGACAGCGGCGATGCCTCGATGTGAGCGAAAGCGGACGACGGGACAGATCGCGGTGCCAGCACGTCGGTAGAATCGCCTCCCTGTCTCGGTCCTTCGCTGCGCGCCACCACTTCCGACACCTCCGCCTTCCACGCTCCCGGGCCCGCGGCAGGGGCGAGAGCGGTGGGGGCGCCCTTCCGTCTGGACGCCCGAGATGGGCACGGAAAGAATGGGTACGATGCCCAACAGCAGTTCTTGTTCATTCTGAACAGGATTCGCTGTCCACGCCGCCGCGGCCTGTGTCCATTCGAGACAGAGGGCCGCCTGTCCAACAGCGGCCGCTGTTGGTTTGGGACAACGTTTGTTGTTGGGCATTGTACCCATTCTTTCGGTGCCCATTTCGGGCGCCCTTCTGGGAGGGAGGGAGGGGGAGGGAGGAGGAGGGAGGAGGGAGGAGGAGGGAGGAGGAGGGAGGTGGGAGGAGGAGGAGGAGGAGGAGGAGAAGGAGAAGGAGGAGGAGGAGGAGGAGAAGGAGGAAGAGGAGGAGGAAAAGGAAAAGGGGGAGGAGAAGGAGGAGGAGGAGGAGGAGGAGGGCGTCCAAATTCTGGGAGGGCGCCCCGCTGCTTCGGAGCCCTCGCGCTTCTTCTGCAAGGGAGCCCGCGCAACGGCTGCTGAGAGGGAGCCGGGCCTCTCCGGGAGGGCTCATGCAGACACGAGCGCGGCCTGGATCACTTGAGTCCCTTCGTCACCCCATATTAGATTCCTCCTCCTCCTCCTCCTCCACGTCCTCCTCCTCCTCCTCCTCCTCCTCCTCCTCCTCCTCCTCCCAGGCATACACCCCAGGCGATGCTTAAGAAAACTGCAGTTTTCGGCCAGAGTCTCGATGATTCTTAGGGTCTCGGTGTGAATCCCAAGATTTCGATAGAAGTTCTGGGTTTTGATGCAAGTTCTGAGACTATGAATTTCTTAACCCACGATTTCTAAAGCATTTCGCAGGGTGTACAACTTTTCCTTCTGACCGCTTGACATGTGCACAGCCTCCACGAGGTATTCCGTGACATCTTCATTATGTCGTTGCACAGTTTTTGTGCCAATAAGGGTATCTGAGTTCTCGATCATGGAGAATCCAGAAGTTGTAGAGCTTGCTCATGTAAAACATCGGGGGCGGCAAAGAGGGGGGTGATGACTAGGGGGGGGATATCATTGCGGGGGCCATGAGATCTCCCCAGATGTCATGGCGCCCCTTCTTATTTCAAGACGTCCCCGGCCCCCCTCCCTGGGCCGCGCACATGCCGCCGGTCATGAGTTGCACCCCCCCGTCTTGGACACCCCCCTCTTGGCCGCTCCCGAACAAAAATCTCCGAGAGGGCTCTCTTCTCAGAAGCCCCCCCCGGACCTCGTGAAGTTTCTCTGAGTTTCCAATCATGGAGAATCCACAAGTTGTAGAGTTTGTTCTTAAGTCGGGCCTGTCCCCCTACAGGGGGGCTGTCAACGAAAAACAATACATATTCCAAAATAGTTCAAAAATAGTCCAAAAATTGTATGGATATTATTTTTTGAATATTTTTTGACACTTTTGGACTATTCTCAATATATATATATATATATATTGTTTTTCGTCGAAATTCCCCCTGTAGGGGGACACGCCCGACGTAAGTTTGTTCATGTAAAAAATCTTCGAGAGGGCACTCCTCCCAGAAGCCCCCCCCCTGGACCTCGAGAGGCCTCCCCGGGCAGCCGACGTGGAGAGCACGGCCCGAGGCCCGCCCGGGAGCCCGGCGCCCGAGCGAGCTCTGCCGGGCGCCGTCCCGGCGAGCCCCGCGAGCCGCGTCCATCGGGAGCCTCGATGTTTCCACGCGCATCGGACGGGTCGGGTGCGTCGGGGTGGCCCTCCATTTCCAGTGGCGGGGGTGGTCGGGGAACATCGAAAAAACACATATGGAGCCCATACACCCCCCAACCCGAAATTCGGGTCTTCGGGTTCGGTTGGGGTGGTCTAGTGGGTAGTCAGCGCATCGGACGGGTCGGGTGCGTCAGTCCCTGGGTCATTCCCCCCCCCCCCTCTCATGAGACCTGTGGGGAGGCGGGGGGCCCTCGCCTCCACGGCCGGATTCGTCTCGCGGGGCCCGATTCGGGAGCCTCGAGGCGGGGGTCAGTGCAAGCGGGGGTCAGCCAGGGCACCAGATCCTGCAGGATCCTGCGAAGACCCCCTCGAGGCGGACCCGGGTTGGCGAGCCGCTCGTGGCCGCGAGGCGGCCGCGCATATTGTTGGCTGACCTGGGTTTGCGAAGATCTGCGTTGCAGTTTGCTTTTCCTGCATTGCCGTCCATCGGGGGTCCCTGCGGTGACCACACCGTGCGGTGAGTCGGTGGGGATTCGGGATCACTGCACGGTTTTGGGACTCGGGTCGTTCTCCGAGGACGTCTCGGGCGACAGGGGCCTCGGGGGTCCCAAGACCGTGCGGTGACGGACCGTGCGGTGAAGTCTCGGGGTATTTCGAGGTCACCGCACGGTCCAAACGAGACTCCGTCGGGACTCCAAAGAGAACCACCGGTCCAGTCCAGACGCCTTCAGTCGGGCCTGTCCCTCTATACAGGGGGAACATTCAAGAATAGTCAGGAAACAGTCGGGGGACCCTTTTTTGGAGTATCTTCGGGCAGCTTTTTGGAGCATGTGTTGAGTACACCCTAGGCGATGCTTAAGAAAGCTGAAGTTTTCGGCCAGAGTCTCGACTATTCTTAATGTTTCAATGTAAATCCTAAGATTTCGATAGGAATTCTGGGTTTTTATTCAAATTCTGAGACTCTGAATTTCTTCACCCATGAGTTCTAAAGCATTTCGCAGGGTGTATGTTTATTTCTGCCGTCCAAAATCCCCCTGTAGGGGGCCTCGCCCGACGGAGCAGAGGCCCCCGCGCGGGCCGCGGCGCGCGAGCCAGGAGCGGAGGCGTGCACAGCAGCGGGTGCCTGCCGCACGCCGCCCGTGGCCCGGCGCCGCGGCCGCGCCGGCTCCCACCCGCGAGCGGCGCCGCCCTCTCGGGGGACGCAGTCCGTTCGGGTGCAGCTCCGCGCCTCCCGGCTCTCCTCCTCCTCCTCCTCCTCCTCCTCCTCCTCCTCCTCCTCCTCCTCCTCCTCCCTCCCCTCGATTCTCCTCCTCTCCTCCTCCCTCTCCTCTCCTCCTCCCTCCCCCTCCTCCTCCTCCTCCTCCTCCTCTCCTCTCGGCGGAAGCAGTCCGTTCGGGTGCAGCTCCTCTCGGCATCGCTCGGACGTGTGCGTTTTTTCTTCGGCGAGGACCATCGAGGAACATCCTTGAGCATTGGGCGAAAGAACCACGCGCGAAACCGAAAAAAACGCACGGAATGAATGTCCGAGCGATGGCGAGTCCTGGGAGGTCAAGTTCTGATTTTGCCCTGGTCCGAAATCCGGCCTAATCCGGCTTATAATCCCGCTCAATCCGGCTTAATCCCGCTTAATCCCGCTTAATCCCGCTTAATCCCCGCTTAATCCGGCTTAATCCGGCTTGATCCCGCTTGGGCCAGCTTAATCCCGCTTCATCCCGCTCGATCCGGCTGAATCCTGCTTCATCCGAGGCCCACTCCGGCGTAACAGTTCCAAATGGGGCTTAATCCTCCTTAACCTTTCTGGCGAAAATCTCCCAGCAGTTGCCTCCTGAAGTCAGCAGGTCGCTCACGGGCGCCGGTTGGGCATTCTCGCAAGTCCTCGAGAGCCACCGGGGAGGCACAAGGCGTACAAGTCGGGCATCTTCGCTCCATCGTCGGGAGCTCCTCCTCCTCCTCCCCCTTCTCCTCCTCCTCCGCCTCCTCCCCCTTCTCCTCCTCCTCCTCCGCCTCCTCCTCCTTCTCCTCCTCCTCCTCCTCCTAATCCTCCTACTCCTCCAGGAGGGAGGGCGGGACGGAGCGCGGCGCCAGTATGTCGGCAACATCGCCTTCCTGGCCGGGTCCCTCGCCGCGCGCCAGCGCGGGCGGGAGTACCTCGGGTGGCTCTGCGACCAGGCCACGGAGCCTTTCTCTCTCTCGGGGAGGCGACCGAGGAGGGTTCAGTCGACCGCGTCCCATGGCGGCACGAGCATATCCTGCTGGCCAGGATCTCTTCCGCTTGGGCATAGGAGGGCCCGTTTTAGACACCCGAGCGTCAGCAGAAAGGATCCAGGGCATAGCAATGGGTCCAGGGGCATACCAATGGGTCCCATGCCATACCTCAACATGGGCCGTCAGGAAAGTGGGGGCGGTCAGTACAGTCATCACGTTGGAATGTGCAGCATGCTGGGTTCGTTCCTGTCACGGTGCTCCCGAGGTCTTCCCGTGGGGCCTCAGCAGAAACCTGTGTTTCAGAATACTCGGTGGGGGTCGGTACCTGAGCGTCTTTTATAGAAAAGTTTTGACCGTATGACCCCATGGCAGTGTGAAGTTAAGGATCCCCTCGATCAGGGAACGTGGTTGCAAGTGTACCCCTTCAGTTGTGTGTGTGTGTGTGTGTCCAAGGGTCTTGCACGGACACCGAAGGGTCGTGCATCTTTGATTTGCCTTCCGATGTTGAGTTGTGCGTGCAGCTATCAGCGTCGCGCAAAAGCGCGCAGGCTCAGCGGGCGAGCTGTACGAAAGACCCCCGCTGCTTTGCAGGAGGCGCGGGGATCATGAATGGATTCTGAGAGGGAGACAACGCCCGCTGTACTCGCATCTGATCCCTCCTCTTCGTCCCTCGTCGCTCTTGGCTTGTCCCTTATTGCTTCCTCTCATGGTCGCCCTCCTGACTCCCCTCATTATCCCCCTTCTCCTTCATCTTCTCTTCCTTTCTCCCCTCTTTCCCTCTACCTCTTCCTCTCAACATCTTCTCCCTCCATGCCCCATCGCCTTTCCATCTCCCTCCTCATGATCATCACTCCCTCCTGCTCATGCGTGTCATCGTCGTCCTCCTCACCATCGGTGCTAGCCAGCCTACCACTCTGGCGTCACCCAGGCCACCGCAGGGAGAGAGTGCCATGCCATCTCGGGGCCGGGCCCAGACCGGGAGACGCTGCCTGCATCTTGCGCTCCTGCAGGTGACCCCGACCTTGGCGCCGAGCAAACGGGGCCAGGGCGAGGGAGCGCGCCCGTCCTGGAAGGGGCTCAAGCAGTGGCGAAGCGTCCTGGCGTGCCTATAGCCCTACCAGACAATGTTCTAAGAACCTGTTGTGGTTTCCACGAAATGTTCTCAGAACACTTCTTGCCGGGGGCTGTCTTGTTTGCACACATCGGGCTTATGTTCGAAGAACATTGTTTTTGTGCTCAAGAACATTTTTGTATCCTAAGGACGTTTTGTGGTGGGGCTATGCCGGGACGGTCGGTCCCTGCTCAAGAGGCGAGGTGGCGCACGAGCAGGGACCCCGAAGATGACCAGCGGCCCCGTCAACAAGTTTCTCAAGCACTGGCGAAGCGTCCTGGTTGGCCTATAGGCTGACCAGTCCATCTTCGAAGAGCCTCCTGTGGTTTGCACGATCTGCTCTCAGAACATCTCTGGCTGAGGCTGTCTCGTTTCAGCACATCGGCTTCGTGTTCTGAGAGCCCTGCGTGGGAGAGTGGGAACGGCGAGGGAATCGGCGACGCTGCCACCGCCGCTGCGGCAAAAGCAAGAGGCTCAAGGTTTGAGGAGCCGGGCTTGGGAGGAGGAGGAGGAGGAGGAGGAGGAGGAGGAGGAGGAGGAGCTTGGAGCGTGGCTCCGGTGCCGATCCCCGCCGTGCGCGCGCACGGGCCCCCCCGGCGGGGGGCCGGCGGCCGGCGGGCGGTCCCTCCCCACGAGGGGCCACGGGCGCATGTCAGCCAGGAGGGGGAAAACACACACTTCTTGATCTGCGGGGCGAGAGCGAACCTCTTCCGCCAAAAACTAGGCGGACTACGCACAGCTTCCACTGGGGAGACAGGGCACAGGAAGGCGGAGCCTCAGGCGGCCGGAGCGGGCGGGGCCCGGGGAACAGGCGGTGCCGAAGTGGAGGAGGGGAAAAACCACACAGACACAACGAATCGTCGATCCCCAGGAAAATATGGGAAACAATAGGGGAGTGGGGGGGGAGGACAAAACCCCTGAAAACATGGGAAAAGATGGGGAATCCTGTTATTTGTGTGTCTTTGTTTGTGTGTCTCAGGGCCTCTTCAGTGAGGAGTCCTCGGCGCCTCCAGGAGAGCCCCGCGGGCGAGCCTCGGGGAGCCGAGTCCCGGGGGGCCCATGGGGCCCCCCGTAGGGTCGAGTCGGGCACGTCCCTCTGCAGGAGGCATTGAAGGGGCCCTGGGACACACAAATCAATACACACACAAATAGCAGGATTCCCCCTATTTTCCTATACTTCCTTGGTGTTTGTCTGCCCCCCCACTTCCCATGTTTTCCCACATTTTCTGGGGAATGGACGACTAATTGTGCCTGTGTGTTTTTCCCCCCTAGGCTTCCCTCGTGTCCCGTACCCGTCGGTCCCTGAAAGTAGGCAGCCCGGGGGTGCCAGAATCCTGGGGAGCTCACGGCCCCCCCCGGTAGAGCTGCCACTGCCGAGGCTTCCCTCGTTTCCCGTACCCGGCGGTCCCTGAGAGTATCGGAGGTGGATAGACCTCCCGCCCTGGCACGTCGATTAGGGAGTCGGCCGTCTTCGGTTCGCGAGAGGGCGTTGCGGCCGTCGCTTTTGCGGGTCCAGGTCCGTCGGTCTCGGCCCCGGGCCGGGTCCACCAAGGGGAGGTCTACGAAGGGGAGGTTTAGCCGCCGCCGAGAGCAGGCGCGTGGGGGTGCCAGGGCCCCAGTCTGCTTCGGGCGCCCTCCTGCTTCAAGCGTCCAGCGGTCTGCCCATCCTCCCGCGTCCTACAGGGGGCGGGCGGAAGCCCAGTCTACAGTCGGGGCCCTGAAGAAGGAACCCTTTTGGTTGGGGAGGGGCTCCGCGTTCCCTAAGCGTTTCACAGCTTGCCTCAGGTTTTCCTTATGTTTTCGATGGGGAATCGAAGTCGAACTTCTGGGAAAAGGGGGCCTCGTTCCTTATTTAGGGTTCCTTAGGTCGACGCCCCGACTGTACTTTCAGCGCCTTCCAAGTTCATGTTTCTGCCCGCTTCTTTCAGGCGATCGCAAACATGGATCCAGGGGGCGTGGATTAGCGACGGGTCCCTTTTCCCTGGGACATCGAGGATGTCCGCCGAACGAGGCGGCACCGGCCGCATGTTTGGGGAGGGCACATCCCCCGATCCATGGATTTGGCGACCGCGCGCCAAGCCCATGGATCGCGGATCCGTGCTCGCGCGCCCCCGATCCTTCCGACCGACGGCTAAGGATGGTCATGTTTCTGCCCACCTCCTGTTTCAGTGCCGTCCAACTTCCTGTTTCTGCCCACCTCTTCCGACCGACGGGTAACATTAAGTCGGGCGTGTCCCCCTATAGAGGGGTTCTCGACGAAAAATAAGAAGTACCCCCAAAAATGATCCAACAATAGTCCAAAAATAGCTGAGGACTATTTTTCCGAATATTATTTTTGACCTCTGGGGGGCATGTTTGGCTTTCTTTTTATAGTTCTCGTCGACAATCCCCCTGCCCCGAGAGGTGCCCGGCGTGCCTGGCGCTGGCGCCCTGGCCGGCGCGCAAGGGGGGGCCTTCGGGGGGACCGGGAGCCTTGAGACGGGGGTCAATGCAAACGGGGGTCAGCCTTCTGGGGGCCTTCTTTCGGGGAAAAAACAAATTGCCGTAAACATAAGAACTTGGAGGTCCGCGCGGATTTCTCGGATCGGCGCTGGACCCCCTTCCCTGGCGCGCGGAGCGCGCCAGGGGCGGCGCTGGAGGCGCCGCCGGGGGGCCCCAGCTCGGGGCCTAAGAGACGGGGGTCAGTGCAAACGGGGGTCAGCCAGGGCACCGGATCCTGCAGGATCCTGCGAAGACCTCCTCTGGCTGACCCGGGTGAGCGAGCCGCGAGGCGGCCGCGCATATGGTTGGCTGACACGGGTCTGCGAAGACCTGTTAAAGAGACCCCAGAAATTCCCCGAAAGATCAACAAAAAATTCTCAAAGATAGTCCCCAGACTATTTTTGGATTATTTTGGGGGTATTTTCTTAGGGGGACAGGCCGACCTAATGCTTTCACTATGTGTGCGTCGCCCCCCCAGGGGCGACGCGCACACCGAGAAATCTCATAGTATATGCGTCGTGGCGGGCGCGTTAGTGGGCCCCAGAAACGGCAGGGCCGTTTTTTCACCGTTTCCGAAAAAGTGACCCTTGAAAATGGAAGCGGCAAAAAAACGGCGACCCGAAACGGCAAAAAAAAACGGCTAAAGGATTGGAACCGGAGCGGGAACCCGCAAAAGAACGGCGACGGAACGGGCAACAAAAACGGCGTCGGAACGGGCAAAGCAACGGCAAATCGGAACCGGTACAAAACCGGCCTTGTCGTTTCCAGGGCCCAGCAACACCGCACGGGGAACGATTTTGTTACAAGCTCGGGTCGGGCGCGCGCCTCCTCGAGGTGGACATGTAGTCAGGAGGGGAAAAAACACACAGACACAATGAATCGTCCACTCCCAGGAAAATATGGGAAAATATGGGAAGTGGGGGGAGACAAAACACAGAAAATATGGGGAAAGATGGGGAATCCTTTTATTCGTGTGCATTTACTTGTGTGTCCCAGGGCCCCTGCGTGTAGTGCCGGTGCGTCTCGGCACGTCCCGCCCCAGCCGCGCAGCGGTCAGGAAGGAAGGAGAGCACTCACGGGCACAAGCAGACGCCGATTCCCAGGAGGAGTGTGAGTGGAGGGGAAGGCGACAGCCCAGAAAATATGCGAAAAGATGGGGAATCCTAGGATTTTAGTCCACTTATTTGTCTGTCCAGAAGATGGGGAATCCTGGGATTTGAGTCCACTTATTTGTGTGTCCCTGGGCCCCTTCAGGTTGCGCAGCCCAGGGGGGGGGGAGCTCCTCTTGGCGGCGCTCGACGGAGACCAGATCCCTCCCCCCTCATTGCTTCTCCCTCCTCCTGGCAACGCGCTGCTCAGCAACTAACCCCTGAGGTTGGCCAAGGACAGGGCGATCTCCATCGACAGTCCACATCCTTCTGCTCCCTCCCTCTCGAGGCGTTGCGAATGAGGACGGGGAGGGCGGCAGAGGAGGCAGAGAGGAGGAGGAGGAGGAGGAGGAGGAGGAGGAGGAGGAGGAGGAGGAGGAGGAGAAGGGGGACGAGGAGGAGGAGGAGGAGGAGGAGAAGCAGGAGGAGGAGAAGAAAGAGGAAGCGGATAAGCAGGACGAGAAACAAGAGAAGGGATGAGGCGGATTTGGGAGGAGGAAGGATGATCAGTGTAAGCCCAAACTAACCAACGATCTTGGAATAAAACCTCCCTCCAAGCTCCCTTTTCATAGCCCCCTACAAGAATTCACGTTCACCGAGAGCAGTGCCCCGTTGGGAGACAACCATCTGAAGATCCTGAAGCGTGCCAAAACACCATCTTCACAACTCCAACGCCACGAAACAGCCTGACTGTTTCGTTTGCGCGATCCTGAATCGTGCCAGAACTCCATTCCTGAGACAACACCGCGAATCAACGTAACTGCTGCGCCCTGGTAGCCCTGAATCGTTCCGAAACACCGCTTCTGGTATGCTAGCTATCGGAATCCGTGAAACTCTTGCAAATGTGCAAGACGAATGTGCGCGGCGCTAAGGCGAGTGCCACCTTTTGAAAATTATCCACCCTCCATCCGCGAAGTGGCTGCAATGTTTTAACACGAGTTTTTGCGGCGCTAAGGCGAGCGTCACATTTTGAAGTTGGCCTCCGTGAAGCTCTTGCAAGTTTTCCAAAGCGAATGTACACGACGCTAAGGCGAGAGCCAACTTTTAACAAGTAACCGCCCTCCATCTGTGAAGCTGTTGCCAATTTTAAAGCTTGAGGAACATAAGTGGTAAGGAAATCTCGGGCGAAACGCCCACCCCGCCCTTCCGACTGGCCTCGTGTTGCCACAGGGGGGGGAGCTATGTATAAGGGAGAGTACGGAGGAATATTGGGAGAGTGGGAGGGCGGAGAAGGAGGAAGAGGTAAAGGAGGTGGAGGGACAAAGGCAGGGAGCGAGGCTGAGGATGAGCAAACGGAGGGATGGCTGCAGGGCGGCAGCGCGTTGCCCGGGAGCCGCGCACAGGTTGCCAACAAGACGGGGCGGATCTCCATTGACCCCCAGACCAGAGACGACGTCACCCTTGTGCCGGTGCCGAAGGACTGCATCGGCTACGTCATGGGGGACAAGCGCAACACGCTGAGCAGGCGCGCGAGGGGGGCTGTCGTAAGTCGTCCTGGGTCAGAGGAGGGAGACATACTGGTACCTGGCACCATATCAGACAACAGACGAGCATTCTAACTCGCGCCAGCGTGCCGCTGGCACGACGGCGGATGCCTGCTTCGATGTCTTCTTTTCCTCTTCTCTGCTGGCGTCATGATGTGTCGCCCGCACGCATCAGTAAGCGGCGCGATCTCTCACTCACTGCTGGACCCTGTTGGAGGAGATCATGTACTCTCTTGACGCTCCGCGTGTGCACGCCAGTCCATCCAGAAGCGACGCTCAGTGATCTCAGTGTATCTCATCGTTGGCTCCCCTCGTGCCCGCTGCCCCACAGTTTGCAACTCAGGGAGAGGTGTATACATGCAGGTCTCAGGGTGAGGGGTGCCGAGAGGTGTTACTTCTTGGCTACGCGCGCGAGGCTGGATGGAGGGCTCGGTCTCTGGAGGCGGTATTACGGGGCAACACACAGGATTGGAGACGGTGTTTTGGGGCGACACTCGGGGGCAACACGTGTGGGCGATGCCTCGGGGCCAAAGCATGCGGGCGATACTCTGACATGTTTCTTCTCCCTCCCTCGACGTTCTTCCCTCTGTCGCCGTTCTGCCACGCAACCGTCTCCGCCTGCGGGCCGCTAGGAGCTTACAGGCAAGCCGTATCGTCGTCCAGGGCTCGGCATTTTTTGGGGTTTGCCAGAGCATCCTGAGAGGCAGTTTTTATCCAATGAATCCTCTCCCTCCTTCTAGCGTCCTTCTCTTCTCTTCGCCCCCCGCGTTGGTCTCTTGGGGGGTGCCTGGTCAACCTGGCGTTGCATCGGCACCTGCGTGCCGTGTGCACGGCCAGGGCGTACTGGCAGGCTTCCGGCTGTCCGGGGCACAGAGCCGCTCCTCTCTCGAGAGCCGCATCCGTCCCGCGCTCCTGCGTCTGGCAGCTCCGCGTCTCGAGGGAAGCCTTCCTGGGAGGCGCCGTGGCCAGCTGAGGCCACTTCGGGGTCATCGTCGGGCCTCTTTGGGGGGTAATGGCGGGGCCCATCTTGGGCCATCTTGGAAGCTGCCTCGGGCTATCTGGAGCCACCTCGAGGCCATGCGGATGGCGACGCCATGTTGGAACGGCCGTGTCGGTCCAGGGGCCCGAAACGATTCGAGCGAGCAGGTTAACCGAAGGACGAAGCAGCATCCGCGCCGGTGGCGGCAGCAGCAGGAGGGGGGTGATTTGTCCGAGCATAAGAGAGAGAGCAGTGGCACGAATGCTGAAGGGGAGGCGCATGTTCAGCTGAGTGCGGTGAATCGGGCAGTGCATCCTGTGTATGCGCGTGCGGAGAAGCACGCGGTGGCAGAACGACAGCGATAGCGATAGGAGGGGGGTTCCTCTCCGAGGCTGGAGGAGGACTGGGAGACCCTGATTTTCTTCGTCGACAATAAGCCGGGGCCCTAATCTATGGGCGGGCGAGAGACTCGACAGGACGCCAGCGTTTCACTGTCTGCCTTGGCCGTCGCCGTCGCCGCCCTTGCTGCCGCCGTCGCCATAGCAGGAGGAGGGGCACCAGGGACCAGCAGGCAGGGCACTCCCCCTACCAGAGGATGAGAAGGAGGCGGATGAGGACAAGGTGGAGGAGGAGGAGGAGGAGGAGAAGGAGTTGGAGGAGGAGTTGGAGGAGGAGTTGGAGGAGGAGTTGGAGGAGGAGATGGAGGAGGAGGAGAGGTGGAGGAGAACCTCCTGTCAGCTCAGTCCCTTCGGTCCTCCAGCGGTAAAACGGGCGTTATTGGGGGGAAGGGGCTTGTGAGCACCACGATGTTCGCCCGTGGTGTATGGGAACGGTTGCGCGCGGCAACGGGAACGACGACGAAGGCGGTGACGACGACCAAAAACAACGACGACGGCGACGACACAGGCGACAACGAAGAAGATGGCGAAGACGACGACGACCACGACCACGACCACGACGACTTCGACGACGACGACGATGACGACGACGACTACAACTACGACTACGACTACGACTACGATTACGATTCTGATTACGACGACGACGGCGAAGACGACGGCGATAGCCACGACGACGACGACGACGACGACGACGACGACGACGACTACGATCACGACCAACCACGGCGGGAATGACGACACGTCGACGACGACCACGACCACGAAGGCGACCACGACGACGACGATGGCGACGACCACGGCGACGACCACGACCACGACCACGACGACGACGACGACGACGACGACGAAGGCGTCGAGGGGCGTCGACGACGGTGACGAGGACCGCACGCCGTCTGCAGGCCTCCGCAGCCGTGCGGAGGCTGCCGGAGGTCTTCCTGGAGCCTCGGAGGTCCCCGCAGAGGTGCCCGGAGCTCCCCGGGGGTCCTGCCACCGAGGCTTCCAGAGGCGCGCACCGTGACGCTCCTGGCGCTAGTCAGGAGGGGAAAAAACACACAGACACAATTAAGCGTCGATTCCCCAGAAAATATGGGAAAGTATGGGAAGTGGGGGGGAAGACGAAAGCCCAGAAAATATGGGAGAATATGGGGAATCTGGTTATTGGTGCCTATTTATTTGTGTGTCCCAGTTTCCCTTCAGCCAGGGCGAGTGGAGACAGTGGCAGGTTGCCTTCGGGGGGGGCCCTCGTTGACACGGCTGGACGCAGCCCGGAAGACTGGGGCGTCTGGGCCGCAGGAGGGATACGGGGGCAGATTCTGGATTGCGGTTGCCTCGATTCGTTTCTCTTTTGCTTGGGGGCCGCCACTGGCGATCGTCACAAACAGGCCCCGTTCCGCGGTTTGTTTCGGTCTGACAGTTGTTGTTGTTGTTGTTGTTGTTGTTGCTGTTGCTGTTGCTGTTGCTGTTGCTGTTGCTGTTGCTGTTGCTGTTGCTGTTGCTGTTGCTGTTGTTGCTGCTGCTGTTGCTGCTGTTGCTGCTGTTGCTGTTGTTGCTGTTGTTTTTTTTTTTTTTTTGTTGTTGTTGTTGTTGTTGTTGTTGGTGTTGGTGTTGGTGTTGGTGTTGTTGTTGTTGTTGTTGTTGGTGTTGTTGTTGTTATTATTGTTGTTGTTGTTGTTGTTATTTTTATTGTTGTTGTTGTTGTTGTTGTTGTTGTCGTTGTTGTTGTTGTCGTTGTCGTTGTCGTTGTCGTTGTCGTTGTCGTTGTCGTTGTTCGATATTGCCCTCCCTCCGTTCTCCTCTTATCCCTTTCTTCCCCTCGTCCCACCCCATCCCTCTTGCCTTTCCATTCCGCCCCTCGTCGTTCTCCTCTCCTTTTCTCTTCCCCTGCCACCTCTCTGTCGTCCCGTTCCCGTCTTCTTGTCCGCTCTCCCCCGACTTCCTTCCCGCCTCCATTCCTTCGCGCTTCTTGTCCCCTCTTTGTCTCTCTGCCTCGCTCCTCAAAACTACCCCGTCTCTGTGTCGCTGCATGTATGGCCGTATACACGCATGTGTCTGTTCATACGAGGGGGGTGGGCGCGCCTATCGCCGTCCGGCTACACGTAGCCTCTTGAGGCTCAGAGTTTGGCGGGGATTCGGGCGGTCCCCGTGCCGTCAGCAGAGCCCCGCCAGCCCCCGCGCCCAGGGCGCATTGGTCGGGCGACACCAGGCGGAGCCCGACCTGTGTCGCGCCGCGGGAGGGGAGGCCGCCGAGGGCGGCGGCGGCCCGCGCGGCTGAGGGGGCGGCGGAGGCGGCGCTGGCGGCGAGCCGCCGGGTCCAGACCCCACCGCAACGGCGTCGGGGGCCCGAGGCCGAGGTCGTGGACGACGGGGACGACGGCGGGGACCTGGCCGACGTCCCCGCCCCGGGCCAGCGGGCCCGCCCCGCGGCGGCTGCAGGCGCCGACGCGCTCCCGGTGGCGGTCGTGGGGCTGGTCGCGCTGGGGGACGGAGAGATGCACGCGCGCGTCGGCTACTGCAGCGCCCTGGAGGTGCAGTGCCAGTTCGCGTGGCCGTACCTGCGGCACTCGCACTGTGGCAGACTCGCTCGCGTCAGGCTGCTCTGCAGCGACGACTGCTACGGGGACTGGCGGGCGCGGTGTGCGGGCGAGCGCGGGGCGAACTCGTTCAGGCCCCACCTGCACGTCTGCGAGGGCCCCGTGCTGCTGTGCGAGGCCGTGTTGCCGCCGTACTGCACAGAGCGGGGCCTCTCCTCGGAGGCGGTGCGGTCGGCGGCCGAGGCGGCGGCGGAGTTCTGGTCGCAGCATCGGATCACCAACCCAGGTGCGGCGTGGCCGCGGCACCTCCTGGGGCCGCAGCCTGGGATCGCTCGGCCTGCCGAGGCACCCGCCGCGGGCACCCACCCGTTCGAGGACTTCCTCGGCGAGCTGGACGTGGGGCCCCTCGCGTCCAGGGGGGGGGGGGGGCGCCCTGCGCTCGCGGTGGGTGGAGTCGCGGGGCCGTTTCGCAGCGCTGTGGCACCGCGACAAGAGTGTCGCCCTTCCCGCCGAGGGCGTGCCGAGGGCTACCTGCGGCCGAGGAGGGGCCCAAGGCCAAGCGGCCGCTGACAGAGGCGTCCTCGGAACGCGCCGTGGGGAGCGCTCGTTGGGGGCAGAGGCTGCTAGCAGCACCTCCACCGACCGTGGGAGGCACGCGCGGCCCGCCCGATCAGGAGTCGACCGAGGGCGTGGCGGCCACGGCAGGCGCCTCCCGCGCTGCGCAGGACCCCGCGAGCGTCCTCGCGCGGCTGCTGGGCGGGCGCCAGGACAGCGGCGAGGAACTGAGCCTGGAGGGCGACACGGGCGCGGGCGGATCTCTGATCCCGCGCGGGGCGGACTCACTGCCGCAAGGTGGCCACCGTGGTGCCTGGACGCCTCGCCGAGGCAAGCTTGGCCCAGTTGGCGCGCTTCCTCGGCGCTCAGGATGGGGGGGGGCGCCGCCGACTTGCAGGGCGCGATCGTGCTGCGGTGGCTCCTCATGGCGTACCTCCCGCAGCACCCCGTGCGGGAGGTCGGCGTGCCCGCATGCCTCGGACTGCAGACGCTCGCCGAGGTGCTCGGCCTCCTGGCGCAGGGGCGATCGGCGGGGATCGCGGACCTGCTCGCGCAGCGGTGCAAGGCGCCCCGAGTCGCGCCCCGCGGCGGGGGCCGGTCGGAGGCGGAGTGGATGGAGCTCGCCCCCCCGCGCGGCGAGGTCATCGCGCTGTGGGGAGAGGAGAAGGAGGTGATCAGGGGCGCCCGGGCGGGCGGGCTGAAGTAAGACGAGCTGGCCGCCAAGCTGCGCAAGCCAGGCCGCTCCTCCGTCACGGCCTCTGGCGGCGTTGGGGGGCGAGCTGGCCGCGGCGAAGGGCTCGAGGGTGCAGCGGTCCAGCCTCGACCCTTCCGCGGCGCAGTGACGCGCGGCGCTCAGCGCGGCGTGGCCTGCCGCCAAATGCGCCCGCATACAACGCCCCAGAGCTGCAGGCGGCGGCGGCGGCGCTGCGGGGGCGCGCCCGCACGGCGAGTCGGCGTGGCAGCAGGTGTCTCCATCTCTTCGACAGCCAGGTGGTCGCGGCAGTCGTGGCGGAGGGCAGGGGCAGCAGCGGGGGGCCGCGGTCGCGGCGGCCGCCGACATGAGCACAGTCGTCAGTTGCGCCGTGTCAGAGGACAGCCCCGCCGACGGACCGACGGGGGGATTGCGGCGTGGCTCGAGGCTCGGGACCGCCGCAGCCAGACCGCCCAAGCTGCTGCCCCCCCGCGCCGCGGGGGGGGGGGGTCGGGGGGGCGCAACGCGTGCTCGGCTGAGGTCAGGCGCCCTGCGGGCCCAGTCGCTGCCTCTGCCCCGCGGGAGCGCCGCGACAAGGCATCAGCACCCCGCCGCGGTCGGGCGCCTGCTAGTGCACCGCGGCGCCCCAGGAGGCGGCGTTGAGCGCTGGGCCAGAGGGCCGAGGGCGCCGATGCTGATGTCGTCAGGGCCATGGCTAGCCTGGCGGTGAAGGCGAGCGGGGTCGGTGCCGAGTGCCCCCTGATGGTTGCTGCCAGGGCCTGCTGCGCGGCGGTGAAGCCTTCGCGCTGTGCAAGGGCTCCGCGGCTTGCCAAGCCAGTGCACTGTCCTCCGCATTGCCTCGTCCGAGGGGTCGGCGAGGCGCGACGCAGCAGAGGCGGTCGTCATCGGGGCACCGGTCACCCTCCAGCTGCTGTGGCTCGTCAGGCACGGCCTGGACGAGCGTGGCAGGCTCAGCAGACGGCCGCCTGTTCCACCGCTGGTGGAGCAGCTCAAGCAGCGCTGGTGGAGCAGCTCAAGCAGCGCCGCCTGTTCCACCGGCGCAGTTGCCGACGCGCGGGCCAAGAGTGCAGAACTCGCCTTGGCACGCAGGCGTTTGACCAGCAGCCTCGCAGCCCGTGCATGCGTCGAGGGCACCTGGCAAATTGCGAGCGGGTCCGGCGCGGTGGCGCGCAAAAGCGCTCGTCCGATGGGGGTCCCGTCGCTGCGCGTCTCCCCCATGCGCCCTAGTGCACTATCTCCTCTTTTCTAGTGTTAAAGCGCTCGCATTTTTCCCAGCGCCTCCTTTTTACCCGCCCCGCCTTTCAACGTCCTCTTCCTGGCGTTGGCCTGTGGGGTGCCACGGCGTCCTTGTGGGGGTCCCGGGCCGCCGCGTGACGATTCGGCGGCCCCTCGCTCTCGGCTTGGCGCAGCTGCTTCGGGGTCGGCCCAAGGGCGCTGTGGTCGCAGGTGTTGGCGGAGTCATGAACGGGGTGCAGGTTGTAGGCAAAGAGGTGGTGGCCTTTCTCCTTTCTTCTCACGGGTCTGGCCTCAGAGGTCCGCTTCCTGTCTCGCCCATGGGCAAACCAACGGTGGCCTGTGGTGTGCCACGTCGTTCCTGGGGGTCCTGGCCCGTCGCGGGCCGTTTGGGCGGCCCCCCCGCTCTTGGCGAGGCGTAGCTGTGGCGGGGTCGCGCCCAGGACGTTGTGGCCACAGGTGTTGGTGGTGCCCTGGAAGGGTCCAGGTTGCAGCAAGAGGTTAAAACCGTCTTCTCACCCGCCCCACCTCTCAGAGTCCTCTCGCAGGCGAGAGGCGGCGGTCCTCTCCCGACCCACCCTCGACAACCCTCGTCCCAATCGCCTTGAGAGGTGGTGCAGGTGACAGGGTGAGGCGGAACGGTCGGTTGGAGGAGGTTTCACACCTGGATAGGGCTGGCCTGCCGGCCAGTAAGGTGGAATGTGGAGCTACGGGGGGGGGTGCTTCAGAGCGGCCCGTTGGGCCAACGTGAGGGGAATTGGGCTACACCCGGCGCCTCCCCCCCCAGCGTTTCGGGTGAGGGCGGCTTGCGGTCAGGGGCCGCCCTTGGGGGCCCGCCGACGTGGTCGGCTGGGGGTCCCCCGATTCGGGCCGAATGCTCTCGGGCGAGGCGCAACGTCCCTGGGGCCGCGGTGCCTGTCCCCGGACACGTTACTGGAGGTTTAGAGGGGCGTCTGAGCGTAGTGACCATTGGCGAGGGAGCGCCTGCCCCAAAAACGTATTATATATCTATGCATATATATAATACAAATAAGTAAATAAATATGGATACATACACATCAACCCGCTGAAACGAATGCACCCTATCAGGAGGGAGGAAAGAGGAGGAGGCGTCGCAGCAGGAGGAGGTGGATCATCGGTCGGAGGAGGAAGCGCAGAGGGTGGCGGTGGACCGCGAGGACGAGGGGTAGGAAGAGGCCCAAGGAAGCTGCGCCTGGAGGATGTGGAGGTCCATCCCGCCCACCCAGTTGTACTGCCCCGTGGGTTGTGTTGTGTGAGTTCCCTCTTCTGTCTGCATGCTGGTTGACCGCTGCTCTGTTCTTCCTTAGGTGGTACGTGTGCCTTCTGTTCGGCACCGTTTGCCAGATGGCACGCTGTAGTTCGGGTAGGGACACTTTTCACGGCAGCGGCGAGGCAGAAGTGCTGGTCCAGCGGGCGGCGATCGGGGCGACCGATTCGCGAATTGGCCAGCTTGTAGGGCGGCCGCGAAGGATGGGAGAAAGCGAAGGGCTTTCAGACGCAGAAGAATTCCAAGCTGATTGCGTTTGCCGGGTAGGGACACACGCACATGACCAGATTGATGTTGCTACAGCTGCAGGAAGGCGAAGGAGGATGCGATTCCTGGCCTGTCGTCCCTTCCCCGTGTCCTATGAGCATGGCGTGTAAATTCCCAAGCAGGTTGAAAGAGAGGTGGACGCCCTCCATACTTTGCTCGAAGCAGCCGTCAGCACTCAACACATCCAAGGGCCTGCAAATGGGGACACACGCCGCCTTTCAGCAGCTGCACCGTGCCGAGGGTTCGGCGTAGCGCCATCTTCGTGCGCGGTGTGACCTCGTGGGTGACGCCCCCTTGCCCAGTCGCACTTCTCTTCCTCCGCCTCCCCTCCTACCGCTGCCCTCCGCCCTTCGCCCTGCTCATCCCCCTTGAGGACTGTTTGGATATGGCTGCCGGCAGGCATGATGACACAGTCGTTTCTCGGCTCTCTGGCGCCAACGCCAGGCTCTCGCAGGGCCGTCCCCCGGGACGACTACCCGACGCATCGCCTCGCTTCGTTGTCTCATCTCCCCTCCACATTCCCTCAATGTCAACGTCCCGATCCCCTCCCCAGCCTCTCTCATCTCCACCCCTCCCCTCCCGTAGTGCTGGTCTGCCTTCCCATGCGCTCTCTTTTCCCTCCCGTCCTTCCTTTCTCCTCCCGTCCTTCCCGTTCTTCCGTCTCAGCACATCCTCCTCTTCACCCAGAAGTTCTACAAAATGTTTCCACACGCCAAAAACACGCGGATCATACCCCATCCTCCCTCCTGATCTTCTTTCTTATGTTTCTCCTCACACTCCGTTTGTCCTTCTTCCCTGGAAGCCTCCAGACACGTTACGAGCCCCACCGACGCCACCGAAATTGTCCAGACAGTTCTTCGCGTCCTCTAGGATGCAGTTCGTTAGAGTGTAAATTTAGCATCGGCGTTGGTATATCCGTGGCCTAAAACGTCATAACCCCGCTTATTCCATGCTCATGCGGTTGAATCCTGGCCGAAATCTGGGCTCATCTTGATATGGTGGCCGATCAATCGGGCCTAAGAATTCCTCATCGTTCCTGCGATGACCTCCCAGGAGTTGCCTCCCAGCGCGTTTTCACCTGGCACACCCGCCCGTGGCGAACAGCACGCACTGCCCAGAACTCAGGGACTTCTTTCCTCCCTCGGCGCCCCTGGGCGGAGGTCGCTGCCCCTCTACCAGGCCAAGACCTCAGGGACTCCCTCCTCCCTCGCGCCCCCCTGGGCGGAGGTCGCTGCCCCTCTACCAGGACGTCGAGGGCCTCGCCATCTTCGGCTCCGAGCGCGGCCGGGCCGGCACAGAGCTAAAGGCCCGCGCACGGGCGGGCGCCGTGCGCCCCTTCCCCCCTGGCGGGCCAATCCTCCTCCTCCTCCTCCTCCTCCTCCTCCTCCTCCTCCTCCTCCTCCTCCCCCCCCTTGTCCTCCTTCTCCTCCTCCTCCTCTCGATCCTCCTCCTCCTCCTCCTCTTCCTCTCGATCCTCCTCCTCCTCCTCCTCCTCCTCCTCCTCCTCGCTCCTCCTCCTCCTCCTCCTCCTCCTCCTCTCGATCCTCCCCTCCTCCGCACGGATCGTGCCGAGCAGGGAGCAGAGCTCTGTACAGCTTGCGCCGCGGAGTCTACGAGGAGAGGCTTGCGCCTCGCGCTGCTATCATGACGAACCAACAACACGCACCCATACCCATCGGAGGGTCGGAGGGGGCTATGGGTGCGTGTTGTCGGATGGGGGTCCCCGCTCGAACGCGAGCGTTCCCCATGGTCCGACAACCCGCACCCATATCCATAGCCAGTCCAGCTCTGTACAGCTTGCGCCGCGGAGTATACGAGGAGAGGCTCGCGCCTCACGCTGCTATCATGACGAACCAACAACACACTACACCCATATCCATAGGAGGGTCGGAGAGGGCTATGAATGCGTGTTGTCGGATGGGGGTCCCCGCTCGAACGGGAGCGCTTCCCATGGTCCGACAACCCGCACCCATGCACATAGCCAGTCCTCTTCCCAACGACCCCCGTATGGGTCTGGGTGTGTGTGTTGTTCGTTCGTCATATCAGTTTTGTACGGGGTGTGGTTGCTTCGCCTCGCTAGCCAGGCCCGCACCACTTCCCAATGCCACAGCAGGTATACACGAAGGCCTTCTCTGGCCGCCGGGGGCCCCGAAAGCTGGGCATCGCAGACTGGTGTCCGTTTATGTCGGGCCTGTCCCCCTACAGGGGGATCTTCGACGAAAAATGAGAAATACCCTAAAAAATTCAAAACATGCTCCAATAATAGTCTGGGGACTATTTTGAGGGTATTTGTTTTTTACCTTTTTGGGCGGTTTGTCAGGTATTTTTTGTTTTTCGTCGAAAATCCCCCTGTAGGGGGATAGGCCCGACTTAAGTGTCCGTGGCAATCTACTCAGCAGCCGCAGTGGCATTTTCCCGGCCCGGGCGCGACGGCGCAGGCCTTCTCGTTGGGGGATGGCCGGCCGATTCCGCGGGCCCCAGCCTGCCCCATCCCCGCCGACGATGCCAGGGCATTCTGTGGGCAGCATCGGTGCATACCTCGAATCCCATGAGGGAACGACTATGCACATACACACCGAAAAGTGTCTGAATCACTCACGCCAGATTGGTGTGGACGCCCCACCCAGTAAACAACGACTGGCGGGCATACACCGAAGATGGTATACACCAATCACCTGGGCTGGGTTTCGCCGCCGGGCACGAGGGCGGCTGGAGTCCGCGGAATCCAGCTGATTCTTGGTGGGCGGGTCACAATGAGCTTGCATATGTGCGTCTGCACGCACGCAGCTACGCGCATGGATACATGCGGCGCGGAGAAGACGATGAGGGTGCCAATGTTTATCGAAGCAGGAACGGTGTATCGGTGTACTTATTGGAATGAGAGTGGCATAGCTGCAGTATTCGTGCCCTGTACCTGCAGCGCGCATGATTGCGATGCCCGCCGCACGCTACTTGAATGAACACGGGGAAGGGTGGTGCAAGCGAAGGAATAGGCCTGCGAGGTTGCAATGACATGTCATATTGGACATGTCTGGATCTTCGCAAGCCTTGGTTGGAAGTTGGAACCCGCTGGGCAGCAGGTGATGGGCGCAGTGGAGACCAAAATGCCGCAGTTCTTCACCAAGGGCGTCGGAGTCTACCAGTCGCAGCAAGAGTGGCAAGCTCAAAGGTTGCAGACGGGATTGGAGGAGCATGGTCCCCCCCCCTCCTCCGGCCCCCCCCCCTTCCCCCTCCCCTCGCGCGCGAACGGGAGAGTGAGGGGGGCAGCACGAGGGGGAGGTCGAGGAGGAGAGGAGGATGTGGAGGTGCACAGCAGCAGGAGAGGAGGAGGCGGAGGAGGATCAGGGATATCTTCGACTGTCCTTCGTGGAGAGGGGGCAGCAGCAGCAGCAGAGAGGATGAGGAGGAGGCGTTGGTGGATGAAGATGAGGCGACGAGGACGAGGCAGGCACAGGAACGTAAAGTGGTGGCGGTGAAGGAGCTGCAGCTGGAAAGAAGAGCAGGAGGAGTCGCGACGAGGAGGAGCTATGCAAAAGAGCAGAATAGGGAGGAGGAGGAGGAGGAGGAGGAGGAGGAGGAGGAGGAGGAGGAGAAGGAGGAATGCTATGGAATGCTACGAAGGGGGGGCTCTGCCCGTCAACCAAAGATCGGGCTCGCCAGGGTGGCGCCTGCTGCCACTGCCGCCACCTGGGAGCCCGGGCCTCTGCCCGAGCCCCCCCGGTACAGCAGGCCTCATCCCTCCGACGACCTGGCCTTCTGCAGCGCCTGCAGGGCGCTCCGAGCGCCGGCGAGCGCCCGACGGGCGATGTCGCCCTCACGCCGCGCGCCCGCCTCCGGGTCAGCCGCGATCCTCCGCACGAGGGTGGTCTCGAGCTTCATCGGGACGGGGTTGACGATCCCCCCTTTCCCTCCGAACCCCCCTCGTCGTGATCCTCTCTCTCTCTCTCATTCCGTGCTCGCCTCTTGGGCTCAGATGCGCCCGCGGCCCTGAGCGGACCCTCGTGCCCTCCCTTGCCCCTTCAGCTGTACCCAAAAGTGCCTGTCCTCCCACCTCTGGCGCTAACAGGCGATCCCTCCCAGCTCCTGCTTGCCCTCGAGCGCAGCCTTACCCTCGGGCTGGGCCTCACTCAGGCGAGGGTGTGATCGAGCGCCTTCCTGATCTTTTCCTTGTCGCCATCCTCGAAGTTGTCCTTGAAGTCCGCCTCCAGGAGGGTGTTGTGCATCAGCAAAAGTGGAGGAGGCCATGCATCGCCTTGATGTACTCGTCGGCCTGTTTCTTTCACTCGTCGGCCTGCTTCGACTCCTGCGTGGCCATCTCCTCAGCGAACTTCAGCTTGCGCTTGGCCTGCTGCATCGCCTCCTCGGCTCTCGTCGACATCTCGTCTGCCTTCATGGCCATCTGCTCGGCCTGCTGCAGCTTCTCCTTGGCCTTCCGGGCAGATTCGACAGCCTGCTCCGACCCCAAGTTGGCTTGCTCCGCCTTTCTCTTGACCTGGAGTTTAGTCGGGCCTGTCCACCTACAGGGGGGTTTTCGACGAAAAATAGAAAATAGCTCAAAGATAGTCTAAAGATAGTCCGGGGACTGTTTTTGATATTTGTTTTACCTTTTTGGATTTTTTGTTGGGGGTATTTTTTATTCTTCCGTCGAAAATCCCCCTGTATGGGGGACACGCCCGACATAAACCTGGAGGTCGGCGTCGGCGATCACTCGGCCCGCCGCCGCCGCGGGACCGGCGCACGCCGGGGAGCAGCCGCATCCCGGTGCTCGGAGGCCCGGCCCGGCCTGCCCGCCACGGCGTGGCCTCGGGGCTTCCAGGTTGCACAGCACCTCCCGGGCGTGCTGCACGGCGTGCGCGACCCGTCCATCTCGCTGACACTGTGTGTGGACCACCGCCTGGTCCACCGAGCCGGACCTGCACACGGACGGCCGCGGTCACGAGCGCCGCGAGCCTGCGGCCTGGCATCGCTCGGGCGTGTGGATTTCTCTTTCGGCGAGGACCATCGAGGAGCATCCTGGGTCACTTGGCGAAAAAACCACGCACGAAACCGACAAAAAAGCACAGGGAATGGACGTCCGAGCGGTGCGCTGGCGGTCACGAGCGCCGCGAGCCTGCGGGCGGCCGCGGTCCCCAGCGTCGCGAGCCCGTTGTCCGAGGTGCGCCTGCCAATCGCTGCCGCCGTGGCGCCGA